GAGAACCCCAACCCCCCCCCCCCCCCCCCCCCCCCCCCCTTCCTCCCTTCGCGCACCTGCAGCGAGCCCACCAGCGGGCTGGACGCTCGGGCGGCGGCCATCGTGGTGCGTGCCATCCAGAATGTGGCGCGCAGCCACCGCACCGTCATGGTCACAATACATCAGATGGGGTGCGGGGCTGTGCATGTGTGGCTGTGCGTGTGTGTGGCTGCCTCTCTGATTGTCTGTGGCAGCACGGGGCGTGGTGGGCAGCCCGCACAGGCAGGATCGGCTGCATGAGACAAGCGAAAACATTGCCGCAAACAGCAGCCGCGTTCCTGCACCCAGCTCAACAGCAGCAGCAGCGCCACCGCCACTTGCACACGCACACAAATGCCCCCCCCACCTCCCCTCTCCCCTGCAGCCCTCCACCGAAATATTTGAGTCCTTCGACCAGCTGCTGCTGATGCAGCTGGGCGGGCGCCTCACCTACTTTGGGCCGCTGGGCTTCGAGTCGCGGCAGCTGATTGCGTACCTGGAGGGGCAGCCGGGGGTGACCCCCATCCGGCCAGGCTACAACCCCGCCACCTGGTGGGGCTGCAGGCGTCCTGGCTGCTACCCATGTAGCCACATCCAGCAACGCGCCGCACTTTTCAGCGCAAGGATGCCGAGCCCGGCCCTACACGCACACAACCAGACACTGTTGACGGGAGGTATTTACAAAGGCAGCAAGAGTAGTAAATTCGCACTAGAGGCGGCGTTAAATAGATCTGGGGTGGAGGAGCATATTCCCGGCATATACTTGGGATATTCCTGATACGATGCGGGTACGATGCGGCACAAAGGCATCATGGTATCGGTGAGCATAATGGCTGGGTCAGGTGCACGAAAGGGAGTGGCACAAGTGTCGATCAACTGGGAATGGGGTGGGGAAACACAATTGTGCGGTGTCTGGGGCGGGAAAGGCGGGAATGAGGGTATCAATGCAGCGGATGTGTAGACTGGACACGTGGCATTGTCACAGCTCAACACTCCCACGCAGGCTGCACAACCGTTGCACTTAGGCAATGCCCATTGCGTCGCGGCAGAACTTGAACTTGTTGGTGGGCACGGGCTTGGTCAGGATGTCGGCGACCATGGAGTCGGTGGGGATGTAGAAAAAGTTGACTTCTCCACGGGCGACTCGCTCGCGGGCAAAGTGGTGCACGATGTCGATGTGCTTGGAGCGGAGGGAGATGACTGTTGACGGGAGGTATTTACAAAGGCAGCAAGAGTAGTAAATTCGCACTAGAGGCGGCGTTAAATAGATCTGGGGTGGAGGAGCATATTCCCGGCATATACTTGAGATATTCCTGATACGATGCGGGTACGATGCGGCACAAAGGCATCATGGTATCGGTGAGCATAATGGGTGGGTCAGGTGCACGAAAGGGAGTGGCACAAGTGTCGATCAACTGGGAATGGGGTGGGGAAACACAATTGTGCGGTGTCTGGGGCGGGAAAGGCGGGAATGAGGGTATCAGTGCAGCGGATGTGTAGACTGGACACGTGGCATTTGTCAC